CTATCACATATTTATCAAGGAACGGATTACAAACCCGATTCATTAAATCCATGAATGCTGCTGGAGCATTGGTTAGTCCAAACGACATAACCAAAAACTCGCAGTGTCCATATTGCGTTCTAAATGCAGTCTTCTTTATATCCTACTCTTTCACCTACAACTGATGATATCCTGACCTTAGGTCAATCTTTGAAAAATAACTTAAACCTTGTAGTTGATCGAATAGGTCATCAATCCTCGGCAACGGATATCTATTCTTTATTGTTGCCTTGTTCAGCTCTCTGTAATCGATGCACATTCTCATACTTCCATCTTTCTTCTTCACGAATAACACTGGAGCTCCTCAGGGTGATGAACTAGGTCTAATGAAACCTTCGTCCAATAACTCCTTAAGTTGCATCATCAAGTCCTTCATCTCCATCGGTGCTAATTGGTAAGGTTCCTTTGCTATTGGTGTCGTCCCTTGTAACAAGTCTATTCTAAACTCCACTTGTCTATCAATTGAACATAGGAAAGGGTTTACTCCCAACAAAAGTCACATCATATCATTGATAGTAAACCCCTTAAAAAGCTTCATATCTTATCCACAATTGATAGGTACACTGCCTTTGTGTGTTTGTTTTACAACTAAAAGTAGGTTTAAAACTAAGTGAGTTTACGCACATCAGACTCTTTCCCAGGCGGGTTTACTTTAACTATCTTCTTCTTGCATAATATCTCGGTGTCATTGGCGCTAAGCCAATCCATTCCCAACACGATGTCGAAACCATTTAGTTCGATAGACAATAATTCCTCGTGAAACTTATTCCCATTCAAGTCAATTAAGATGTTTTTCATACGATGGCTAACAGGTACAAACTTGCCACTAGCAACTTTGACTAATAAAGCATTATCTAGTCTATCAACAAGCAAAGCTAGTTTTCTACCAAATTCATGCGAAATAAAGGAGTAAACCCTTTCTTCGTATGAAAATACAAGCTTACACATTATTCGGAGTGTTTACTCATAATAGTTAATCAATTTGGTTTTTAATAAAGCATTACTGTCGATTATCAACAAACCCTTTCATAGTTGGCCGAAAACCCTTTCATTGTTGTTTTTTAATTAGCTTCTACGATGGGGTAAATGTAAAGACAAGACAACTCCTTGATTCTCAAGGACCTTTAAAAAAGAAAAATCACGGTGAGATCAAGAATTAATTAAATAATTTTCAAAGCCTTCGCGTGAGTATCACAACCCTCAACATGATGAGCAAATGGAACTGGGAGTGGCACTTCTGAGGACATGGCGGCTATGTTAGTTATGTTGAATAATATGGACTAATGTATGACTAAGATGGATCAATCCATACATGCTATTCGTGTGGGTTGTGAACGGTGCAATGGTCCACATTTAACAAAAGATTGCAATCTTGATGATAACGGGAATAAGAAAACTCAAGTCTCCTACTGAAGTAGAGACAAATACGACGAAGATTGGAGGAGATCGAGGAAAGAATGGTTGCCATATGATGAATATAAAAAGGAAAAAAAGAAAATTTTAGGCAAAATTGTTGAGGTTTTTATCAAAAAGAGCAACCTCCACCTGAAAAGAAGGTCAATTTAGAGTCCATGCTAACTAGATTCATGGAAGCATCGGAAAAACGACATGATGAGACCGATGCAGCGATAAGAGACCAAAAAATTCTAATGAGATATTAGTAATATTTATTGAGAAATCATCAAGCATCGATCCTAAACATTGAAGCCCAACTTGGTTAATTAACTACATTGGTTAATGAAAGACTTTCTCCACAAATTCCAGATAAGAAGCCACAATTGCAAGTCATGGTGATCGCAACTGAAGATGACATTATATCTGAGTTCCTAGAAGCCTTAGAGGTAGCACCACTTTTTTCTAAACCACAGCAAAAGAAGTTGAAAGTTGAAAAGAAAAGTTATGTTGAATCCTTGGCATCACGACGTGGAGATTCAATCTCCACGACGTTGACTGAGATTGAAAAGAAATATTAATCTTGTGTTCAAGCTTTTCGTCCTCCATTACCGGTTCCTTCTCAGGATAGATATCATTCATTGGAACAAGAACATATAAAGTTTATAAAGCAAGTCAATGGTATTCCTATTAATACTCCTTTTGTTGAATCGTTAGTACAAGTTCCAGAATACACAAAGGTTTTGCAAGACTTACTCGACACTAGAAGACTTCCAAGGTGGTGCTTAGTGAGCAGAGTTCTAATGTGATAATGGGAGAAATATCAAAGAAGATGGGAGATCCTGGGTGCCTTACACTTCCATGTGAGTTTGGAAATAATATGAAAACTTATGCTTTAGCCAATTCTGGAGCAAGCATAAATTTAATGCCTTACCCATTCTAACAAAAGCTCGCTCTTCCAGATTTGAAGGCTACTCGAATGACTATTCACATGGCTAATCGTTTGGTGACCCATCCATGAGGCATAGTTGAGGACATCTTGGTAAAAATTGGAATCTTTGTTTTTCCAATTGATTTTTTCGTATTGGATATGAAAGAAGATAAAGATGTCCAAATAATACTTTGCCAACCTTTACTCAAAACTGCTCACGCTTTGGTAGACATTCATGAGCCTAAAATTACATTGCGAGTAGGAGATGAAGAGATAAACTTTAGAGTAGAAGATGGATTCAAAGAAGATTATGCTTCAAATGAAGTGTTCAATTTGGATGACGTAAATGAGCTCAAGGAATTGGAGAAACTAATTGAAGTATATATTCAATCCATTAAGGAAGTACAGTGTAAGAAGACTAGATCATCGATTCCAATGGGTTTAGAAGTTTTTGCTTACAAAACTCCAAGTTATTTAGCAAGTGACGAGAGTGAAGAAGATTTGATGTAAGTGATGATGAAGTTGGAGTTACCTCAGAATTAGAACAACTAACTATGAATAAGGAGGAATTTGAGGTTAAAAAGCTCCAAAGCAATGAAACAAAAGGCATTACGCTTATTGTCAATAAGGGCATGAAATGAAAGCTAGAAGAAGGAGACTCGAATTTTTAAAAAGAAAATTTGAAGAAGGCGTATCTTAGGAGGGTTCAAGCATAAAAAAGAAAATAGAGAGAACAAAAGGTGCAGTTGGTGATTGACACTCTGAGTTATTCAATGTGAAGCATCACGTAGTCCGCTCATGACTCCTACAAAAAAGAAGCGCTTCTCAGGAGGCAACCCGAGCTCGGTTTGCTTTTTCCTTTTCATTATTTTATTTTATTTTTCCATTTCTAGTTTAGTTATAGGATAGTTAATCATCAAAATCATCTTCTTTTTTTTTTTTCATATTACCTCACAAATTAAGTGTGGGGTTTAGAATTGATTGAGTGGTAAAATATCTTGAAGAAAAAAATGAAATTTTAAGTAAAGAAATAAAATCCTCGACATCACGTCGTGTTTTGTGCCCTACGTCGTTGTCATGAATTATTTTGTGATGTATATCTGTGAGTTTTAAAATTCATGACGTGAATTGAGAAATTCGCTATGTGGAATAAAAGTTCACAGGGTGAGGGGGGCATTTTAACTCAGATGACTTCATTTTCTTTGACTATTCTTTTCAAACACCACTCACGCACAAAAGTTCATCAGTCCTGCATTCTGATTTTCTATCAGATTTCTCAACATTTTTTCTTGATTGTGTTATCATTAGGAAGAAGGGCATTTCAGTCTTAATTTTTAATATTTTCCATAAATCTTTTATCTTTTGCAGCATAGTATGCGTAGATGGCCTACATAATTAACTTTTAAATGGATGGTTGGGACTGTGTTGATGAAGTTCATTCCAAAACTAATAGTAGGCGACTTGAATTATTTTAAGAGACACCATTTGGGATCATCATTGGTATGCCCACCCCGAACGGTGACCCGATGTTCTGTTATTTGATGATGTTGCATGAGGTTCGTGATGTGTTGGTAGCTAGGGCTATGAGGTTTCAGTTCGAGTTACAAGGCAGGGTGGTGGAATATGGTGGAACCGAATTTTTTTTTTATTAGAGGTTTGAAATTTAGACCTTATGTTGATGTAATCAATACAAAACACAACACAAATCTGCATTACGGAATCGGTTGTTCCCAAATGTGAGAGATGAAGGCTTACGACAGAAAGATATAGAAAACTACATAAAAGGGCCATCATTCTTGACTTGTAGTGATGATGATGCGGTAATGCTTATGAATATCTTGTTTTGCTGAAAGGTCTCATAGGACGTGAGTGTATGAGCTTGTCGATAATCTATATAATTGGAACAGGTAGTAAATTTACTACTTATTTATAACTACAAGATGATTTATATTAATTATAATGAGTACGACAGGTTTGCATGGGGTACGTTTCAATGGAGCTATAGTGAAACAAAATTATGACTTTGTTTTGGTAAAACCTACATATATTTACGAGATCAAACCAATATGGGTGCCGTGAAGACGTTGGAGTATACGGTGATCAGTTTTCACCTTTCGTTTAAGGTTAGTTTTAGGTGCAACTAATATACACATTTTAAAGTGTTTATAATCATTGACAAATCATAACATGTTAAAGTTATACTAGGTATGGACTTTGGAGACATTTCCTGAAGATTTGAGGTATGCGCATCACGCCGCAAATGAATTTCCAAGAATGAGGGCATGGAGACTAAAAACACAATTAATTGTCAAGCAATGTTTAAATATATTAGACATGCCACTGGTATAGTTATACATTCCTTATAAAGTTATATATAGTAAAAAATCTCAAATTTTATTTGTAGTTAAAGTTAATGTTTTTATTTTGCAGGAAAACAACATTCCACGTGTTGTTGAAGCAAAAAAATTTCAGACTGAATTGCCATTCTATTCATGTTATTTGACTTGAACTTTGCATGGAGTGGAGTCTCCACTGATGCAACAACAGAGCCCTCCGAAACAACGGTCTCCATTGCCTCAACCCTCTCAGATTCAGCAAGCAGATTACATCATCTTACACTCATGTTTTGGGAGCAGACCACAACACCTCACAAGACAATAAAATAGACAAGTTAGTGGGTGTTGTTAATCATTTGGCAACCACAATCGAGCAGTTTACGAAAAAAATTGACAAATGGAAAAATGAAAGACAATTTGGAGTGAATGATATCGATAATGTGGAGGACCGTGAAGTCTTCATCGATTGTTGTTGAAATTAATGATAAAATAGTTACACCGGAAAAGAGGGGGGATATGGAATCGAACTATTTAGGGAGCCTTACGTACATGTATTAAATAAATTACTTTCTATTTATAAATTATATCATCGTTTAAAATTAATTAACATTTTGATTTTATAGGTTCCGTCCACAGAACCAGTGAAGAACAAAAAATGAAGAAAACCGAAGAAGGATGGTACTTTAGAGAACGTACAATTACTATTGGACCGTTACATGCCTACTTATGAGGAATTTTGGAAATTATGGGGGAAAGAACCAGGCGATGCTTTTTTTGGAACATAAGCATTATAAAGGTTTTGATATGAATTGAGAATTTTGGGCAACTTTACTTGGCATGTGTGGGTCTCGGTGGTTGGAATATCTGGTAAGATATATCCCTTATTTCATTGCACAAAATGTTTTGGATAATTAATTTTACAAAATGTAACTTCTTATCTTATAACGCACAACATTTGGTAATATGGTTGTCGTTGCTCAAGGAAATCAATCCCTCGACCGCTAGATGGACGATTATTAATCCTCAAGGCACCACATTGGAAGTTGAGAAAGACCTTTATTTGAGGCGAATAGCAGCAGGGAAGGTTGGCGGACCTCATTGGAAAGATATTGATCTGGTTAGTATATTTATTTATATATCATATAATTTAAAAAAATTATATATAATTTTAAACTTGTATATATATAATTTAAAATTTTTATGCAGGTTTTAATTCCCACCAACATCCTTCAAATTCATTGGTTTTTGGACGAGTTGAATCTCATTACATGGAAAATGGCCATATAAGATTCAGCTTAATGGTGTGGTTACTTTAAAATTATAGGGATAACGGTTGTTTCAAAACCTTTGGTGATAGTATTTTAAGTGAACTACACAAAATTTCATATTAGAAGCATTTTCCCAATAGATAGAAACCTACTTCGATGGAATTTGTTGAAGGTGAAAATGTCTCACAGCAGGAAGAAGGAGGTAGAGGAGATTGTGGAGTATATGTGTGCATGTTCATGGAAATGCTTGCATCTGGGGTGGAAGTGGAGACACACCAACCAACTCGAGCTATGGGATTTAATTACCATAATAGGATGGAAGAAATTATTTGGGCAACTAGAGGTTGATTGTGTAGTTTTTTTTTTTTTTTTTTTTTTTTTTTTTTTTTTTTTAAGACTAATTGGTTATGTTGTGATTATATTAGTGCATCATTAATAGTAGAGTTAATTTCATAAATGACTTAAACTCAAAGATAGTACATATAACAAACCAAAAGCACATAATAAAATACAACAACACTAATTAACTTAAGGGAACTACAATGGGTACTTATCTTTCTCCATTGTTATATAGTCGTCCCTAATTCTTATTTTATCTTTAACACGGCCCTTTTGCTGCCCTAAGTCTTCCTTTGTTCATCCTTCTCAGCAAGCCATTTTTTATTCATTCTGATAGTCTTCTTAGTCTTTTTTTTTTTTTTTTCATTCTTCATGCTCTTCTGATTTTATTTTTATTAATCTACATCCTTTCCTCAGCCTCTTTGCACTCTGCCTCAGTGATGTCATGACATTCAATGAGAGCTCGAGATGACTCTTTATCTATTTTTTTTATTTTTCTTCAGCCCATTGCAATTGTTGCAAAGTATCATCAGATATATATGGCCCTCTCATATTTGGTGACAGTGCAAGAAAATGGTCTATCGTGTCACAATAGTAACAATCAACTCCGTTGCACGAGCAAATATAGAAATTTCAAGATGAACTCATATTAAATTTCAAAAATAAAATAAAAATTGCAACTCGCTACCAAAAATTCAACGATCATCTATGAAAATTTATACACCCTTCAAGTCCATAGAGAGTTGTTTGTCAGTTCGCAGAGCTGTTTGTCAGTCCGTAGAGCTGTTTGTCGGGAATCCAAGGATGTTATTCGTTGTGATCCATACATTACCATTATTTATTAAAAAGTGAACATTATTTATTAAAAAGTAAAAAACGCAAATGGACCAAAACTAAAGTTAACATAGAACTAAATAGAAACTAATATTCGTTGTGATCTATACATTACAATTCAAGTAAATTGTCTGTGGAGGTAAGAAGACAATACTTTCAATTGGTATTTCTCAATACATAAGGATTGGAATAGGATTCACCATCTTAGTTTGAAAAGCATTTTGATACACCACAATAGTTAGCTTTAAATTTACCATTTGCTGGATTTCTTCAATTTCAAGCCTTTGTAGTGATGTTATAGCGTGATCACAAAGTATACCACATTTTTTCCATTTCCTGCAAGTACAAATCCAACGTTCTAATTACATGGATTTGGTGGTTAAATACATACTCACTTCATATTTGTCGCCAACAATATGCCTAACCCTACAACCATCGGAGTGGATAAATCTTTTTTGAAGCACCTTAAGTGCATAAGGGGTTAGAAGACTATGAAATTCCCCTATGAAATTAACTGAATCATCAAAAAAATTATGATGTGATAATGTATAATAACATATCATTATTACTTCCGAATGCAACATGTTGAACATACACTCCTTGCATCTAGTCAGGAACCATTTGAATGATTGTGTTATTGGTAACTCAAGCCTGTTTGTTCTCATCCAATTGACGACACAAGAATGTCAATGAATTCCACATTGAAACATACTTTAGGGAAAAAAGTCGGTACCCATTTTTCAATGGAAATATTGTCAGGACAGTGAAGATCATTCCCATTCACCTCATTTTGTAAGTTGTTCAAACACACATTCTACACTTTTCATGTCTTCCAGAACAACTACTCCACAACTATATTGCTTCCAGTGGAAGCCCATATTTTCTCATCTATATTTTTACAACAATAGCCATGATATGAATAGGGGTAGACTCTCCAAACTACAAAGTTTATGGACTCAAACATATGGCTTATGAAACCAACTTTTGTACTATCACCGAAACATTCTTTTAGCCTCCTCATGAAGCATACCCATGAATTATCAAAATTTATGGTTCCCAAAGAAAATGATATGAGAAGAGGTTCATGATTTCCATCTAAATCAACTGTAATGTACGTGGATGTTATGTACGTCCGAATTAGAGGTACGTGACCAACAAATATGACTGGTATCATAGACGTGAGAAACATACGAATCTCCAAGTAAAGATAAGAATATTAGTCATATAACAACTTCAAATAACAAAAAATTTAGTATAAATGATTACATACCACGCATCCCAATGCTGCAAAAACAAAATTGGAAACGATCGTACGAATCTTTCTTAATGCACATGAAGGTGTTAGGATTGGTTCTTTGCAGTTTATGAAAGAAAATCGATAGATTGGAGAAACTTTTTTTAATACCTCATTGAATGAACTCATTTTGACAACTTTAGACAACTTCTAATAATGAAAATGTTTGTCCAATTTAAACGGAATTTGTATTCATTATTCCGCAGAACTGTTTAGGAATCCATAGAGCTGTTTGGGAATCCAAAAAGCTATTTGTCAGTCTGCATAACTGTTTGGGAATCTGCAGATCTGTTTTTCAGTCTGCAGAGCTAGTTGTCATTCCACAAAACTGTTTCTCATTCTGCAGAGTTGTTTGCCAGTCTGCAGAGCTATTTCTCATTCCACAGAGCTGTTTGTCAGTCCTCAAAGTTGTTTCTCAGTCCGTAGAGCCAACTAACAGTCATTTTTTATTTAAGTAGTCATTTGTTCTTTAATAAACTCACACCTTTATTCTGAAATGGCATGCAATGTACCAACTTCTTCAGATGCAGCGACATTGTCCGATCCTCCATATCCATGGACGACAAGAGAGGTGATGGTCCTAACACGATGTTGGATGAACGTTTACGAGGGTGTAACACCAATAGCTGCCCCTCATTGCCTTGTAGGTGATGAATGTACCCGCATAACAGGTTTGTTTAACCATGAGATGGGAGGACAACACTAGCTTAAAGAAAATATTGTTAGTAAGTGGATGGAATTAAAGGAAAAAGCACATGGTTCAACTGATGGTATAATTATGTTAAAAATAGGCCATATTATTACGCAGACGATGAGGAACTTTTACAATTTGTTAAAGAGTATTACATGATGGAGCGTGATGGAAGTGAGTTTGAATATGAAGACGTTTGGAATGCGGTTAAAAAAACAAGTATTTCATGTAGACGGTAATGTTTTATGTGTAATGTTTATGTAATGTTTGCTACCACTTTATCTTATTATTTGTAATGTTTATGTTTTCTGTTTCCATGTATTTGTAGTTTCTATTCCATGGAATAAAGTAGAAAACAACTCAACTTATTTTGTAAATAACGTAATAAAAACCAAATACATAAAAAGTAACCTAATACAAAAGCAGTACATATAAATAACCTGATAATAACCAGTTACATCTAAATAACCTAATAAAAACCAAGTACATAAAAATAACCTACTACAAATGCAATACAAATTAAAAATAAGAGAAATCTTTTATAAGATTCCAAGGGGCTTCATACTTGAATTCCGACCCGTCGCTAATGGATTTCTATTCCTCTTTCGCTTCCTCCAAGATCGCTTCTTCATCTTCATTTAGTCGGGCGTCATCAATTTTGTTATAAATTAAGATCATTAAATAACAAGATTTATGTTTTTACTTCATATGATTTTGCTATGATATCAATGGTGTTACGATAGTTTTCTACGACAGTTAGAGGGTCAGTGTTAAATGTATAGGTTAAATGGGTCCAAAAACTTGGATCATTCACACTGATGCTCTCGTACACATTAATATATGCACGAGTTAGACGTAGGTTCTCCTCTACGCTCCATAGTCTGGAACCCATTGTGAGTGAAAATATGAGGGGTAATTTTTTAGAAAAATGAATTGAAGAAAGGGTATATAGTAGATGAAATGATACACATTCAAAGGTTATTTTATAGTAAAATCCTTACTGATGAAACCATAATTTTAATATAATAAAATATTACTATTACGGAAATAAAACTATTGAATATAGAGTAGATGAAACGGTACTGCGGAATTAACACTACTTTGCTGCGGAGTTGATGAAATAGTAATGCAAAAGTTTGTTGGAATACTAATTTTTTTTGTCTTATACAAACTTCATAATAAATAGATTTTAAAATAAACTTCATTCATTCAAATCGAACCACAGAAAGTATGCTCCATCTTGGTGTTTCGTCCATTGGTTTTGTGAGTCTTACATCTCTTGGTTTTCTGTTGCTTGCATCCCTAGGTTTTCTGTCTCATGCATCCCTTGGATTTCTGCCTCCTGCTTCCATTGGTTTTATGTCGCTTGCATCCATTCGTCTTCTGTTACTTTTGTCCCACTTCCTGAAGCCCCACTATGTTTTCTACTTTTATTTTTCTTCTTTGGGACAACTTCCTTACATTATGTGTTGTACTATGGAATCTACTATATCTTCTTATTTTTGGTTCCTCACGTTGTGAGGGGATAGAGTTGGTGTTTTTCGGTCTACCTGCTTGATGTATTTCCATTACATGAGGGTTAGCAACCATAAGACCATTAGGAACCTCCCAATCACCATGTTCTGGTAGGGTGTAGATGACCTCCTCATATGTTCTTCGATACGTTTCAATTTTATAAGCATCTTAGCCATATGCCCACAGTTTTGATTTTTCAAGTGCGTTAAAACCATTATCACATGACCACAAGGCAAACCAGTTAGTTGCCAATAATTGAAAGAAGAAATATTTTGTCTTAAATCGACTATGCCACCACTTTTGAAGTCATGTACTTGATATGTTGCATTGTCAACACCAAATACCAACCATCCTGTTATCTCGTCTTTATTTTTTTAACCATAGCTTCGGCCCACTTCGTAAGTATTATTGTACTTCTTTCTGTTAAAACAATGATATATCATTATATATGACATTTATTGTATAATTTGACAAAATTTTAGTCATACCTATAGCCACCCGACGTTGGTAAAACAATTTCTGCATAAGCACGTAGAAGAATTCAAGAAGTGGTAATATAGACAACTTCCTTGCAAGTTTTTTTTAACAACATTTCTACATAAGCGCGTAGGGAAATGTGATCTAGTCCATTTATCACGTGGAATTTGACTAAGGTATGCCGCTACATGTGGTCTAAGAGTACAAAGTCTCCCCCAATACTGTTCAAACTCAGTGGTCATGTAAGCTCTTACAAGCTTCCAAAACAAAATTGTTGTTTTTTTCCAAACGTATGCACTATGTTTCCTATTAGATGAAAACCACACAAGCCATGTTGAGCATTTTCAAAAACATTTTGAATACTTACGACAATTGATGCAACCCTATCCATTACCAATGTCAGATACCATTCATGTAGTTTTTCAAGAAACCATGTCCAAGAATGCGTACCCTTTTTTGGGAAAACATCTGATTGTTGTCATCAATGGCTATTGCATGAAATATGGTGCCTTTGTAATTTCCCTTCAAATGGGCACCATCGATGATAATAACTTTTCTACAAAATCCTCTAAAAAGCACGTATCTACAACAATTTTGTAAAAAGCATGAATATGTTAACAATTTATTTTGCTTATAAACACTATATATTTACAAAGTTTTAAATTTAATTTATTTATTTACCGCACAACCAATAACGGAAAAACAATACTCGAAGAGATCCTCCAAATCAGTTTGCATGTACGCCACAGTCCCAAGATTATTTTTTTCAAGTTGTGAAAATAAACTGAAAGTTTGGAGAAACTTTCTTCGAGGGTCCCCATCATTAATCCTATAGCAAATTCTCTAGCATGCCACGTTTGTGAATAATTCAAATTAGTTTCCAACAACGCATTCATATCTCTAATAATATATTTAGGCCTCCAAACTCTCAAACTACCTTGACCCATAATGTCATGCATTATGGTTACTACAACTTCACTAGTTGTTTGTCTACGATTTGGGTGTATAAGTAATCAATAACATATGTGCCCCTCATTAAACGTCTTAATTTCAAACATTTTAGTTCCTTTAGTGACAACAACATATAAACGCCAATGACAGTTTTCTTGCAAACAAACAACCTCGTACTGAGATTTGTTTGATTTTTGAACCTTAAATATGAAACTTTTCTTTAACCGTTTTGAATTTAACAAAATTTGTTAGGTCTTTTTTGGTGTTATAGGTTTGATTCACAAATATTTTATCATTCCGACCTACACTGTGAAATTGCCCAGGTTCAATAAAAGGTTCTAAACAATCAACAATAGGAGTAATACAATATGAGGGATTAAAAGCAATTTTCCGTTGCATGTACTCATCTACGAACTAGCTTTCACTTGATGTTTCATTATATAATTGATCGTCAAAATCAGGTACTTGTCCAAACTCAAATAAATTTTGTTGTTCTAATTCTGTCATGTGCAAATTTGGTTCATTATCATTATCTGATAAAAAGTTATTATTATCTGATACAAACTTATCAGCAACCAAAGCTTTCTTTTCATAACCCACTCCCACGTCATTTCCTCGTCCCATGGACCGGTTTCCACCAGATTGTCTTTCTCCACGACCTCTACTACTTTTTGCTCCAATAAACTAGTTGTTCACCACTAGCTGTTCTTCAACTTCTTCACCTACCACTAATAAATACAAATGCATTGTCTGCTTTGTTTCGACATTACATGTCTCAGGTGAACTACATATGATTCATCTGCAAGATCCATGACATACCCACACTCCGGGTGTTTAAAAGACAAAGATATATGACTATTGAACACACCAACTTTATTTCTAACCATTTGTAATAACATTTGATGGTCAAGGTTAGGAGGAACATTTAAACCATTGTTTTTCATATTATTTCTAACGTAAACCTCATTCTCATTAACTGACTGTCACAACTCTCCTATACATAGATTAATAGAATTCATTTTTACAAAACACTCTTCACAAAGGCAACGAAAAAACGACTTCTAGTGATTACAACATTCATAAAAATGAAAAAAAAATCGTTTTTGGTCACTAAAACTCATAAAAAATGATAATAAATTGAAAAAAACATATATTATCGTCAGTTAATGATTAAACACGACTACAACTACCATTTCCGCAGAGAAATCAACCATTCCGCAAAGCTGTTGCATGGATCCTCAAAGACGGCTATGCGGATCAGTTAGAGAGGACAAATTACCATTTCCTCATACAATTTAAACTTCCGTAGAGATGTTAAATGGATCCACAGAACCACCTCTACGGAACCATTATAGCCACCATTTTTTTTTTCATTTAGTGATGCTACGTCATTTCATCGGTACTATTCATCATTCAGTTGAGTTTTAAATGGATCAGCAGAGCCCCTTCTACAAATCTCGTGGTCATTTTCCAAAATTCAAAATTTCATAATTAAATGCTTAAAACACCCCCTCAATTTTAGTTATTTTATGAATTTTCTCTTTTTTAAAACTGTTTGGATCATGAGAAAAAGCTATATGTCAAAGCTAATTTTTTAATGTTTGGCAAAACTATTCAATATTGTAAAATGATCATAAAAGGGATGAAAAAAGAAAATCGAAGGAAAATAGAATATAAGGTTCATTAAGGGTTATGTAATTTTTTTATCTCAAAAATTTATAAAATGTTTATAAAAGTTAGGAGGGAGATTTTTTTGAAAACATTTTATTAGTAGTATGGATAAATCATTTTAAAAATGTTATTTTGATTTGACAAACATTATTTTTAACTTATTCGTTTTTTTAAGGTCGGTGGGTATGAAATGGAAAAGAAGAGAACATTTCCTTCATCTTGTAACACCATACCGAAGATGAGAGAAAATGAATGCGGGAAAAAAAAAATAAGAGGAGCCTATCCCTCACTCTCTCTTCTTTTTGATTGGTCAGTTTTTTTTTTTTTTTTTTTATAATATTTATTAAATTATATACCTACTAAAAAATATATCAAAATTCATGTTTTTAATTTCTTACAAATTGAATATATTTGTATAAAATATATATTTTTAAAAAATAAAAGATAGTAAAAAGTACTATTTTTACCTTTTATGTGAGGGAAAAAAGAATGAGAAGAAGCCAACCTCACATTCAAAAAGTGAAAAAAAAAATTCTTACACACCATAGGTCTAAGTAAATAAATCAATATAAAGAGTTTTAAATCACAATCACACCCTGTAACTTTCACAAGTTGCTAAAAGCTA